TTTTTTTTAAATGATTCTTTTCAACTACAATTCAAATGCAACATCTCATTTCACTAAACTATAATTTAGAAAATTTTTATTTATTATTACTTTTTTCAGTTTCTATTTATTTGAGTGAGTATTGAAAATTGTGCCTTTTCTTTAATGTATGAATACATTTGAGGATGACTGTATGTCCACTGTTGGACGGACCTCTTGTTTTTTTTGCAAAAGCACAAACTCAGTCCATCCATGTCTGAATATGCCACTGGGTAAAGAGTGTTTCATATTATGTCTGATGGAGCCCGCACACTGAAACATGTCTATCTCATAACTGTACTGTTTAACAGCAAAACTGCAGTTTTGAGCCTTTCAGGCTTCTTCCATCTTCATGCACCTCGAAAGTAGGTGAAGTTGTACCAGAAATCTCTAATCAGGCCATCTAGATGTTACATTTCAAACAGCATTATTCAGCAGCCAGGCCAACAGACATTGTTGATTGATTATTATTATTATTATTGACTGATATATCAATATAAATATATGTTAGCCGGCGGGTCACAAGAAGTAGCTGTACAGAAACATAATGTCTAGGATCAATTAGAAATGATCTGTTAGGTCTAAAGCTAATAATTATGATCACTGATGATTTTTCTGATGATTTTCTTGATTAATGGTTTCCTCTACAAAATCCAGGCAAACAGAGAAAACAAACAGGATGTTTCTGATTATTTTTTTTGGCATCAAACTGACAAAATCTTATCAAAATGGTTACTGATTAATTTGTTAGTCCATCAGCAAACAAAATGTGCAAAAACACGCAGCTCTATGTCTGTGGCGACAGCAAAAGTGTGTCTTTGTGAAGCTTTAACATTTCCTGAAAAAGAATAAACGTGACAAAAGTAATGTTAGTAGTTTATAGATGAATATTGGCAATATAATATTATTCTGATGTTTAGGATGCATGTGTTGGAAATCTTCAAAATCCTTGTTTATATTTGAAAATTGATTTATGGATGTATTTTCTGTGTTCTTTGTTCTTTAAAACATGCCCCTAGTGGATTAAATGAAGCCACTTTGATGCATTGTTAACGCCTCAGTGTCAATGTCGAGGCTGCAGTCCCTCTTCTTGGCAAGTGGAAAACTGCATATTTTGAGCTGAATTGGTGCTTTTAAGTCATTTACACGTGTAAAGCCAGCTGAATTTGTTTTATATTCTGTGTCACAGTAAAGTAATGCAGAGACATGAGCACGTAAATCACTTTTTGGCACGACAGCCACATCCCCTTCAAGCCAAACTTTGGTGCCCATATTTGAACCCTTTCAGTAGCTTGCTAACTTTAGCGTTAGCTCATTAGCCGCTCGTTGGAAATGAATGAGAAGCTAATAGCAAAAACATGCTAATACTTACCAAACAGTTTTGATGAGCGGTAACTTCGTCTTTCGTCGACAAGGCTCCGGTTATCTTCGTCTCTTCGGACAGATTGCAAAGTGCGCAGTACACTTTTTTACGGCCCATTTTTACTGCCTGTTTGTCTTCAAATAAGTACTTTATGTGGTGTTGCTAATACGGTGACATTCACGTCACATTATTTTTTACATTAAACCAAAGCTATAACAACAGATTCAGTCGCGGTTTCCTCGCCCATCCCGTAATCTGTGGTTGCCAGGTTTTGTGAGAAATATCCCCCGCGTTGAACTCCCCAAATCCCCAAAGCTTGTTAAATCTCGTGAGAACAAAAATCACACTGAAACGATCAATAAATTATTCTCAGATCACTTTTTAGGTAACCATTTTATTTTCTTCCAATAAAATAACAAAGTCTGTACGGATATTTACTTTATTTTTATTTTTTTAAATACCGAAATTATGAACTAAATTGCAAAGCAGACAATGTTATAACCAGTACTGTTTTCATGTAAATAATAATAATAATAATAATAACATAAGAAAAACTGGATGTCATATTTCAGGCGATATATAATTAACCCGTAGTATTTTTTTTTATTTTTTTTTACTGTAACTTTCAGCTGGGATCTTGAGGCATCTGGCCCAAAACACAAACTTCCTTTTATTTTTATTTATTTAATTTATTACCTAGTTTAGTTTAGTTTAAAAAGATACGAAAATGACCTCCTATATGCAACTGGAGAATGTAAATTCGTCTTTTGTCATTATAACCAGCCCAGATTTATTATTCATTAGTTATTAGTTATATAGATAAACATGTGTGTTTATGAATATATGTACATGTATTTGTATATGTAAGAAAACCTCAATTTTCAGGGACTTTGGAGGATCTGAAAGAAATAATGTATTCCAGCAATCACTAATCCTGCATAAATATATGGTTTTAATGTATCAGTCTTTGTTATTTAGTTTGTAGTTATTTAAATGCATATTTTGATGTCCTGTCTTAACTGTAAAGACAATATTTTATATTTCAGCTCTAAAAGGCTGTATGTAATAATCCTGTTCTCTTACAAAACTTTTTCCCCCCATCATTTTCAGAATAATATTCTTAAAAGAAAACTTTTCATGTGCTTCATTTGGTCTTTTAGTGACATTTTCTGCCCATACTATTTAGCAACATCGGTTTTTATTGGTAAAACGCAACTTTTCACCTAAAAGTCAATGTCAGTTTATGATTATAGTGGCATTTTTTTTGTAACCGTGTCCTATCAAGTATAACGGGAACCTTTAAAAGACAAACCTGGCAACCTACCAGGACACTTTCAGTTTCGTTTCTGCATTTCTACTCTTTGTCCCTTTGATCTCTGAGGCCTCGTTTGTAGGTCAATGTAAAATCTGCTCCAATAAATGTATCAAACCACTCCAAAAGCAAAGAAACAATGCAAAGAAGTGCCTTTTTTTGAGCATATCAAGTCTGCAAAATTAGACTCACAAAACAGAGAGACAGCGACTGAATTATCACAAGTCGTTTATGTAAAAAAATTAGACAAGTCACAAAGTAGTGACATCACCATACTTAATGTACAATATAGCATCTCCATTACAAACATTTCATGACAGACGGATATTAATGAACAATATCTACATTCAGAACACGATCCCTCTGCAGGGAATAAGTTAGCGCTATACAGTGATCTCTGATTATTCACACTGAGAAACATTTGTAAATTGTAGCATATGTGAAGACCCATATAGAGTTAGACCACGAGGCCATCGGAGATGTGAAAGGACACACACAAAGTCTGGACAGGTGGCAGACCAGGTTCCTAATGGATGGATGGACAACAGACAGACGGATTCAAAAGACAGCAAGAAAATTACAAGTAACTGAATACATGTGGGTGTTTTTTTGCAAATAAATAAACCTGTAAAGGGAAAAAAAAGAAAAAAGCAGAGGGCAGAGAAGTGACTCCCAGATAACATTCATTTGAGCTAAACAAGCCGTCCATATTCATCTCTGTCCCTCTTTTTTTATGTACAGTAACAGTTGAAAAACCAGCTAACTCCTGGGTAAACTAGTGCAGATGAACACACAGACAGCATATGATCGCTGATAATACCCCGCTGAACATAAATAGATGCATCAACTGAGATCAGTCCTGCTGGCCCATTCATACATCTATTACAATATAAACCCATGAATCGTCTGTCTTCATAAAAATAAACAGACAAGTTGGTGACTAGCGGAAGATCACTTGACTATCCTGTGAAATTACATCATGGAACGTGTACGTCTGTTATGCATCAACAGCTAAACGTGCCGTTGTCTTTATATGTGGTGCTTGTGCGTGATAAAAATAATGGAAAAATACAGCCTTCTGTGGAAAATATTTGTACGATGTTGGCAATACAGCACAGAGAGCAACGTGATGCGAGCGTTCGGGAGTTGACGAAGGAGGACGTGCTGAGGAGTTCAGGGTTTGATGTCGGAGAAGCTTGTGTAGGTCTCACTGCAGCTGGATGATGTGCTGAGGTTTCCAGAACCGCTGCCTTCTGTTGGAAAAACACAGAGATTCAAGATTACTTTCAGAAGTATGTGGTATTGACTCACACTTAAATTGGGATTGTTTGTCGGAATACCTGAGCTGGTGAGAGACTGACAAGACTTGGACTTTTCGATGAGGGTGATCAGATTAGCGGCGGCGATCCAGCCCTCCTTAGATGTGTTCAGGTTTCGTACAAACCTAGACAGAGAAGTGCTATTACAGCAGTGCTGCTATATATATATTCTAATTTCCCATGGATAGCAGCAAAAAGAGGCATCCTCACCATTGTGCGTCATCCCCCTCCTTGACCAGCTGCACCAAGTCTCCGCTCTTCACTGAGAGCTCCTGATCTTTCTCATAGTCGGCCAGTACTGTGTATTTACCAGCACACTGTTCAGAGTCGAGACAAGAAGCAGGAAAGGATGCACTAATATTAGAACTTTGTCTGCTTTGCAAGATCATGATTAACGCATGAAAGAATTTTGTGCTCTGAATGGACAAACAATTCAAGTTAGATTTAATGCTGCACTGACCAACACTGTAATATTTTTTAAAAAATGGATCTAATGATGCTGCTCTGAAAAGTTCCGATGAACTCACAGTGCACAGCCCACTTTGCTACACAGCACACAAAGTCAGCAACTAGCTGGTGGAGAATTTAACAACTGAGGAATCAGTAAGGAGTTAATAATGAAGAAATAATCAGCTTAACACGCAGTCAAACAATGATAGCATGTGCCTGCTAGATGATTGATTGATTTCCAAAAACATTCAGTTACTGTAGTTGTAATTTAATTGTAAATTAACAAGGGTGATGAATAAGCAACTCAGACATAATTATGTATATTTGATTGAATGTTGCTAAAATCCAAAAAATAAAATAATGTAAAATAAAGCTTACTGAAAGGCAATCACAGGAAACTGGATTTATTGGGCTTTCGTGTATATTTTTGCAGGATCAAAACTTTAGCTCTACATTTGTCTGGTTAATCTACCTAATTATTAATGCCACAGGGGTCTTAGCTTTAATATAAGCATTAGTTAGGTTATGTTCCACAATATATGACACTGTAGGTTGCAGGTTCTGACAATGCAGGTCAAGAAGAGTCAGAAAGGAGGAGGTAAAAATGGGGGTGAACACCGGAGACCCACATTTAAGATCTTTCGCTTCTGTTTGCATGTCCTTAAAACGTCTCCACCTTTTTTAAAGACACCAGCAGTACTTTATTAGTTGGTCAGTGCCACCTGACTCAGGTTACGAGGCTTTGCTTAGTTAATTAAAACTTCAAAGGTATCAAAAGAATGATATCTTAGGAGAGCACCAGAAGTACAGATGTTTTACCTCCACACTGTACAACCGTCAACAGAATACTTGTGTGTGGAAGTTCAAGGAGACAAAAACAACCTCCTGTTTTCTGTCTAACTGGAATCCTCCCATAAGAAAACATTTCTGAGATGGTAAAAATCTGTCCAAAATGAGGAATTATAGCCAAATGTCCGTATTAAATGACCGTACATATTCATATCATCAGCTGATCTTGAGCTAATCAGTTTGTTGTATCTGACTGAAGTAATAAATCTGCGGTGGACTGAAGACTCCTTTTTTCTCAGCATTTCTCTTACAGTTTATTGTTAGACAAGTAAGTGAGACAAATTGTAAAAGAGTTGCGTGACTCACCAGCTTCTTGCCATTTTCGTCCTCCTGGTCAGAGTTCAGGGGATCCTCGGCGCTGGAATAACCGTCATGCTCCTCCGAGGCGTCCAGTGACAGGGAGGCCTTGTTCCAGCCTGAAGAGAAGAAGCAAACACTGGAGTTTAGTTTACAGCAGCATCCAGCTTCGGCTGCTGTCAAACATGTGTGTGACCTGCAGTGAGAGATCTACCAGTGTGAAAGGGAGAGAGGAAGACCCACAAAACGCTCCTTTGATTAGAGAAAGGTGGGAAAAAAACAACCCAGGAATCCCAACATGACACAAACAGTTCCACGACTACTACAGAAAGAAAGACTGTGGAGATTGGCATGCAACTTCATATTTTAAACTCTCTGAATCAGACAAGTGGGACAAAGTGGCAGGCAACTATTCCTCTATGTCAGTGGCATTTTTTTATTTATTTATTTTTACAAATTTCACAACGCTTGAAAGGAATGTGAAGAAAGCAAAATTGGAGAAAGGCTGCCTATAAAAGTGTCATAGTAGTGAAACGTTGGGCCCACACACAGCCAGTATACCTCTTAACTTTGTCTGTAAGAGACTAGAGGTGCTGAACCACCTGGCCCTGCTCAGGTGGAGGGGAGGAGGACCTGTATCTGAGGGACGAGAGGCAACGTAAAACACAGCAGGTCACTCACCCTGCATTAGCCACGGCCAGTTTAAACTGAGCAACATCTTGGCTGTATTTAAGCATCATGGACGAACAGCTAAGGACACAGGGAGCGTATGTAGTTGTAAAGAAGAGCTACCTTTGAAGCCGAATGGCGTTGGGTCGCTTTGGCGTTTCGTCTTGTGATCCGGGCTGGTGGGAGATCCTGCCATTGAGCAAGAAAAAGGAGAGACAAGGGTGCAGGATTAACAAAACAAAAACAAAACCTGCATCATCAGCAAGATATTATAAATCAAATGGCAAATTCTGGTGAGGATAGTGCATGGTTTACATCACACAAAGCCTTTTTTCAGCTAAAATGACACAGATGCACAGAAGACTAGCAGAAAGTTTAAGAAAGGACAACTAACACAGAGGTAGACAGCTAGTTCTAGTTAGGAGGGCTCTGCAAAAAGTAGCTCAATATTGCAATGCTTTGTTTTTACAATGAAAAACACAAAAGATGTGTTTCAGCAACACAGACCTTTTTCACAGAGGACATTGTGACATGACTGGTATTGTGCACATTGGCTTACTGGGACACTTGATCATCCATTATCTATACACCACTTAACCCTCACTAGGGTCGCGGGTGGCTGGAGTCTATCCCAGCTGACTTAGGGCGAAGGCAGGGGACACCCTGGACAGGTCGTCAGTCTATCGCAGGGCTACACATAGAAGCACACTCACATTCACACCTATGGACAATTTAGAATCACCAATTAACCTCAACATGTTTTTGGACTTGTGGGAGGAAGCCAGAGAACCCAGAGAGAAACCCACGCTGCACGGGGAGAACATGCAAACTCCACGCAGAAAGATCCCAGGTGTCCTCACCAGGACGGAAACCGGCGACCTTCTAGCTGCGAGTGCTAACCACTGCGCCACTTTACAGCCAACACTTGATCAGAGTTAGGCATTAATTTTTGAAACATTTGTGCTTTTCTTAAGTCCAACTATCTGCTGTGAAAAAGGCATTGATTGCACTGGATTGAATGAAACAATGATCTAGTACTGTATGATACCTGCTGATAGAAAGATGGTCATGGGTAAAGTGAAACTTTTGTCATCAGCACTTGAGGGCTCTGTGGAGGGAAGCATGCAGGATGTGACCTACTGACCGAATGTCTTAAAATAGTTTTACTTGCTGAGAATTTGATGAAAAGCTTTCACATCTGTACAGTGAAAATGAAACAACTGCAAGCAGCCAGTTAGCTTAGCTTAGCACTCAGATGGAAAATGGTTAAAAAAATTAGCCTTGATCTGTAAAAAAAGTTCTAAAATCAGCACTCTAGGAAATCGTAAGCACACTAGCTGACACATAATATCTTGTTTGTTTAATCCATACAAAAATCAAAGTGGTAAAACCTGATTATTTCTTGGCTGAAAGTTATAACTTTCACCAGTGCGGTTGTCGGCACACAGACATGACAGTGGTCTCACTTCTAGTTTAAGTTGTGGCAACAAATAATAATAAAAATAATAAGCTCAATAAGCTTTGTACTCAGTGCTTAAACTCAAAATAGGCATAAAATGATGCAACCAAAATTCTCTTGACTTTGACTAAATGCAAAAGATGATATGATATGATGGATATTAAAACTGACAATTGCCTCCAGTTACCTTTCTGAGCTTTGAGGTTACTGAAGCCCTGCAATGTAAAGCGCTTTTTAGCCACAGCAGCTCTGTCTGAGGTCGGGCTTGTCACAGCCTCATCTGACCCAGAGATGGAGCAAGACCGGACAGACAGAAAGAAAGAAAGAAAGAAAGAAAGAAAGAAAGAAAGAAAGAAAGAAAGAGGGAAGGAAGCCATGAAGAAAGTAAGTTAGGCAAGTATTAAGTGAGAAAGTGTGTTATCACATCATCGTTGATGATTAGAGTCCCCAGGTCAGAAAGGTTATGTCTGGATCTTGGAACGATGGGCCTTTCAGATATATAAGTAGAGTATTCAGGATAAAATCTATCAGGAGGATAGTCACATTATCTAGAGCATGTGACTCCCATTAGGACAGAACACATACGTCCATCGGTCATGTAAACAACTCCCCAAAATAAGCCAGTGGTTAAGCTTGGTCTGGAGGGTGATTCTTTTTGGCTTTGAATCCTTTCACAGATGTCTGACATATTGTACTCGTTCCAATAAATTTTTATAAATCAACAAGATGGTATCAGTGGAGAATTTCTTCATCATCTTCACATCATCGCTACTCAATAAACAACAGAAGTCTTTAAAGAGGAAAGATGTTCTATGATTCATTGGAAAACAAGAAGTGAAGACAAGGGTCAAGCATTGGACGACGCAAACAGTTGCAGAAATGTGTAGTTTGTACAATACAAGCACCACAAATGCAGAAGACAGACTGACAGTGGATCTCTCTTGGTGTGTCTGCTCACCTTTTCCTGCGGGCTTTGGGGAAGAAGAGGAGTTGACGTCGGGGCTGCAGGGCTCAGCTTTCTTCTCCTCTCCCTTTTTAAAGCTCCTCTGGCCGCTCTTGAATGGACTGTGGGTGGACAAAAGTAACAATCTTCAACAACCTCAACATTACCTATTGAATAGTTCATTAAGGTTGTAAGGGGGGAAAATAAACGAGGTGTGGAATTCAGATTTACCTGAGATTTACTGTCCCACTGGGTACAGGTGGAAACTGGAAAATCTGGTCTGGCGCCCTCTGCTGGCTGGCTTCTTACAGACAGAGAGGGATAAGAACCACTTCGAAATACCCATGCTGCAACATTTGCAGTAATCTTACTCTTATAATAGTTTCAGCTAAACTATTGGTGTTTCTGGTTCTAATTAAACATGGCCATTACATTGAGAAATAAGATTTATAACATTTTAATGTACCTCTGCAGGCCTCCAGCTGGGTTGTCAGAACTTTCCTGATCTCATTCACCCAAGTGGTTTTTACTTCAGCTGTTGGTGCCTGAAATGCAACAATAAAACATGTCCAAGAGCTCTGTATGAACTGCAAAAAGACAATAAATGCACTTCTTTCATCTCCATGTCTTTACCTGCACAATGTAGACCTCTTCTCTGGAGTTGCACCAGATTTCAAACTTCTTGTTGTCTCCCTTTGCATTCTCAGTGATGCCCACCGCACTCATCTGTTCAATAAGTAGAGGAACTTAGTGTAAACCTGTCTCATTTTACCAATAAAGATATGAGAGATAAATGCGTCACTGCAGCGGCGGAGGTGCTCACACTCAGAGACTGCTTGAAGCTGTACGATGGAGCTTTCTCGTAGCCCTCCCCGTTCTCCTCCCTCCTCTTGCAGAACAGCAGGGCCTTCTCGTGCAGGAAGAGGTGTCTCTGCATGGGCTTGAAACGGGCCAGATCCTTCACCTTGGCGTGACCCTTCTTGTGCTCTGTCCACACGCTGAATGAGCCCTGCATCAGCAGCTTACCGAGCTCACTCAGATTACCCTGAGAAAGGAGGGAGATAAAGGTAAGACGCTGATCCACCACTTAATAGATTTGTTTTAAAATATTGTAATTCATCATTTCAACACCTCAATCTTTGTTCTATTTAATGCATCCGTGTCCTCTGAACAATGTGTCTATATATACTTGAAGGTGGCTGCCAGATGTAGACAGGAACTTCACTGTGAAGAACAAAGCGTCTGCTTTATCTAAGTTTTAAAGTTGCAATTTGTCATCTACCCTCTTTGTCTTGATCCACACATCATAAATAAAGTGACCCACATATCTCAAATTTAATGTTAATAACCTGTCTCTCCGGTTAAGCAATGAAAATGAAATGATTTGCTTGATTTCAGGCAGCGAAGTGTAAAACTTGACAAATTAAAACATCAAAGCAAAAATACAAACTGTAGCCTGAAGCAAGAAGGATTATATCAAATACTCTTTGCTCCCTGTGGTTGTTCTTTATTATAATGTCATCACAGAGTACATGAAGCGATGTATATATATTTTTTAAATGTACAATAAAACATGATTTTTGAGTTTTAAAATTCTGATTTGTTACTCTTTGTGTCGTAGCCACGGGCATGCTGTGGCAGTGCAGATGTTTTTTGTTTTTATGTTTGAAATACCAGATAATAGTCACTTCTCCTTCTTTCAATTTGTAAGATAATTGGTTGAAGAAGTTTTTAGATTCTTGACTAAAGCAAAACTACCAATACAGCTGTGTAAAAATACTCCACTACAAATAAAACCCTGCATGCAAATTCCTACCTAAGGACACAAGTATTAGCAGCAAAATGTAGTTAAAGTATTAAAGTAAAGGCACTGTTTTGGTCCCTCTGACTTGTGTGTTGTGTAAATATGGCATCCTGAGAATATTCATACTGAAACAGCAGTGTGTCAGCAGCATAGTACTGAGTCAGTTTGAAATACAGTTTTATATGCAGATACAGAAAATTATTATTGTGTTTTGAAACAAAAATTTGTCTTTGGCTTTTGGAGTATTTCTCTAATCTTTGGTTTTGGTGAAAATATTTAACCATTTGAACATCTGTCTGTGAAGATTCTCAGTCATCCAGGTCATGGTTATTCTCGTAGTTTAGTCGTAGCAACTGGACTTTCTTGAGTTTCTTGAAGACATTTCACCTCTCATCCAACAGACTTCATCAGTTCTGACTGACTAGTTGGTACTTCCAGATACTTACATTCTTTAGGAACCTTTAATACTTGAGTTTCAATATCTTGGATGAGAGGAGAAACTCAAGCAAGTCCAGTTGCTACGACTAAACTACGAGAACATTTGAGCATTTATTGAAATGAAAGCATGTGAGAAGTTTGGAGTTAAAAATCACTATTTGGTGGAGCTTTCAGCAACTCACAGACATCTGAAATGTGACCCTGACTACACTCTGCTTTTTCTTCAGATATTAGTCGCCCAAAAGGTTGGAAACCACTGATTTAATCTTTACCAATGCACTGAATTTAAAAGGCTCGATATATTATTGATTCTGCAAAACCTTCTTCTCACAAGTAACTAAAGCTGTCAGTAAATGCAGGGAAGCAACAAATTCCTTTCTGAAATGTAGTGCAGTGGAAGTATAAGGTAGCACAAAATGGAAACACTCAAGTAAAGTACCTCAAAATTAAACTTCAATTCAGGAAATTTACTTTGCACCACTGACTAGGACAATAATTTTAACATAATTTGCCCGTTTTGCTGATTTTTTCTGAAGATTTTTTAAATATGGCGTGAACATTTTCTGTAGTTGTGTGTTCAGTCTCCATATTATGTCATTATGCATCGACCAAACTTGATGAAGACTATGTAAATATGTATATTTATTGCTATTCACCACCGTTTATGTGACATATCATTTCACTATAATACCCTCACTTTGTAATATCATTCAGACCATGCAATTTTATGTGCCACATAACGACAATATTTCCCAGGAAAAATGACAATGTCTTGCTTTTTATTAGCTTCTTATCTGTAATAATATCACCGCCTCTTTGCTGTATCGCCTCTCTTTGTTGGTATTTTCCTTCCATTCAGTGCAAGTTCATTTCACATTTCATCACAAATCATTATTTTAGACTTTTATACAATGATCCATTCAAATGCTACACTCAACATGGGTCCGTCTTCCACATCAGGACACATCTCAAACATCTGCTCTGCAATTGATGAGCCGGAGCCTCGATTTCATGTCTCACCTCGTATCCTGTAATGGCGATGAGGTGCATAGAGTCATTGACAGCCTTGAGGATGCCTAAGATGGAGGTCAGCGCCTCCTGCAGATCGTCAGCCCCCTCACAGCTCTTACTGTACTTCAGCATTTCCTGTAGCCAGAAGCACACACAAAAGGCATCTCACTGCAGTGATGGAAAAACAGAGATCCTACTGATAAGATAACTGATTTGTAGCCACCAGACAGTACCTTCAGTAGCAGCTGATATTTGGTAATCCTCTGAACCGGCTTCAGCAGATATGAATCTAAACCCAGTTTATGCTCCAGCTTTTTCTGACACTCCTGGTGCCATAAAAGAAATGAGAAGAATTACATCAATTAAAACACAAAGCTAAAAAAACAGTGCTGATGGTTTGTAAACTTGAACGAATCCCGGCTCACCTGGAAGAAGGCGCAGTCTGAGCACTGCCTCCACAGACTCTCAGAGCGGGGCTTGTTGTGGCAGTACTTCTCATAGATCTGCAGGTCCGTCATCTGAGGAGGGCAGCGAAAACGGTTTGCATTCAAGAAATCTCTTCCTCATCACAGTGAGAGTCTCTTAATAATTCACTTACCCTCTCTAAGAAACACCTTCCAACCAGCTCTGGGCAGTCTGTGTACTGCTCCAACTCCCGAAGAAAAGTTCTGGAGAAAAAACAAAACCATGTCATTGAAAGTGAAGATGAGAAGGATGAAACCGTTTATTGGCCAAGAAACTGTCAAGTCATAGTGCAGATATTGTAAGTGACAGCCAGATGGCGCTCAGTCACCTTTTGTGGAAGTGGTAAATTTCTGGCATGTTGCCGAACAAAATCTCCTTTTTGTTCTGCAGAGGAGCAGGGATGAGAGGAGACATGGCCGGATTATCCATCTCAGAGGCATAGCCCTGTAACAAACATAAACAAAGCATGAAAATTCCAAGCACAGGTGAGAGACAAGAGGGTAATGAAACTTTCTGCGGAGGGAATAAACACCTGCAGCACACAGAGCAGCTCTTCCACGTAGGCTCTCTCAGTTTCCAGCAGCTCGTTCATAACATGCCTGCACACAGAAGGAGAATAGTGAGTGATTCAGACAGGAAGGCACAAACAGAGAGGGATCAAATGAAGGATTCCGTGTGCTCAGAAGAGATAGATGCACAGCGCTATAGATAATGAGATAACTGTTTTCACAGAGCCCATCTGCTGTGTAACTTGATTACAGATGAAGGAGTTACTGCTGATCCCTCACCGCCTGAGCACTGCCAGGTTCTCCTCCTCCTCGGACAAAGAAGCATGTCTGCTGTTACTGTCTCCGTTCTGCAGTTGGCCGTTTCCCTGTGAAAAAAAAAAGAAAAAATCTGTCAGTAAATATCTGCTCACTGTGACAAGCAACAAACAATGCAAACTCTACAGAACATCTGTGCAGCAGCATGCAAACAGATTTATGACACTCACTTTTTCACAGTTGTTTCCAGAGACTGTCTCTGAGTTTTTCTCCTGCTGAGCTCTGTGCGCTGCAGATGACGAAAGACAGCCATCATTTTAAGTTATTAAAAATGTAGAGGAAGAACATTTTGACCTGTTACATAAAAGCCTTTGACGTCAGTAGGCCCAGACAAATCTATGCATATTTTAGTTGGTCCTCAGTCAAAAATAATATTTCAAGCACCACATACTGGGTATTATATAAGACAAGCTATAATCAAGGTCACATGTTTTAGAATCTTTGGAAGAACATGTGAATTAAGAAATGTTTGTGACATTATTGGATTGCAAATGATCTACTTGCAATACAGTACATCTCGATTATGATGTAGTTTTGCACAAAGCATGTCTGTCACAGTCTGACAAACACAATCTTTTTTTTTGCTGGAAATATGAAAATATTTGTTATAAAATTGTTTTTAAAACTATAAATGAACAGTAGAGTGTGTAACACATATGAAACACATATCACACACATTTTTTCTGCTGAAAGGAACCAACAGATGCTGATAACTGTTAGTATGTGGGATTAATTTATATTTAGAACAAATGGGAAAAATTTAGAAAGAGTACCTTTATTTATTTTTATAAGGAAAGATCCACCAATTAACAATTCACATTAAAGAAAGGGTTTTTTCATTTTGTATTAGAGGATACCTGGACTAAATGTTTTTTAGTGTATTTCTGATGTGCACTTTACACTGAAAATGTTATTCTTAAATAATGGACAAGAAAGTCTGCAATAAAAGTCCTTGTGACAGATTTCTGATTTCTTCATTACACATTTTCGAAAATGTAGTTTTCAAAAATGTTTTGCAGACTTATTACAGTTTACGTGCAAAGTGTCACAATTATGGAAAATAGAATCTGAGTGTGTTAATGTACATGTAAGGGCGAAACGGCGAAAGGGCTACATTCAAGACATGCAAAGACTGAAAAGCATTAAAGTCTTTCAAAAAAAAGTCTGAAAAAGGCTCTGCATTGTGTGAAATGAATAAGACTCATGTGTGGCTGAGTGAAGACTGACCAGGTGAGCTGAGAGGAGATTTGATGAAGGCTTCAGGTCTGGGGGCTACTGGCTGCACAGGCCTGGTTTGTTTGGCTGCTAGCTTCTTGAGACTGACCCTCCTCTTGTCAAACATCTCCTGCATGGACGTCTGCTTCTGGAAAACTTTCTCCACTTGGTCCTGATACACAGGAAGCCATCAGAGATCAAAATGTGATGCTTGTCCAAGTCAGATCGGATCATTTCAATATAATGTGTTGAGTTTAGTATATCAGCATCAGCAACTCAGTAATTTGAGACCTAATGTACTGATTTTAGACAACAATCTGAACATTTGTGTTTACAATAGCTGCATGAAGCTGCTGTAATCCATTTGGGAGTGATGTTAAAACACAGCACGTGTTCTCCTCACATGTGGGTGCTCTTACCCTGAACTGCTGGTTCAGCACTGCTTCATACTCGCCCCAGATGGTGCTGAGGTCTGTCATTTGATTCTGGCCAGCGTTATCCAGGTAACGCTCCAGTTCCTGCAGCGCCAGCTCCGCCCCCTCATGTGACTGACATTTGTCCACCGGCTGAGAGGCCAGCAGGTAGATGCCATCGTCGACCCATTTGGATGCCTGGAGAAGACAGCAGAGGAGGCAAAAGGTTTACTATATATAAAAAAAAACAAAAAAAAAAACAAAAGGACAAGATTTGGAAGTGTGTGTGTGTTTGTGTGTGTGTGTGTGTGTTTTCTTCTCACCCTCTCCAGTCGGTGGTGCAGCTCCATGGCTTTCAGCAGGTGGTCCTTCTTGGCCCTCAGGCTGCTGCTCACATTCTCACTGACAGCTCTGAGCTCGCTGCATTTGGGCTGAATGGAGTCCTCGGCATAGTGGGAGTTCTGGATCAGTTCGTCACCCTCACGAGACAAGGCCAAGGCTCTGTCCAGAACCTCCTGAGGACCCACAAGTGATTCATTTTCACCAAATAATTCACATCATCAGAATATTATAAAGAATACAGTAAAAGAGGAATGTCACTGTTTTTCTTGAGAGGCCACTGTTTATTGTGTTATTGTTTTACTGTTCATTATTCATTTGTGTATCATGCATCTGTTTAAGTTTCAGTTAAAGTTTTCTGACTTTGTATGGCTGCTACCTTGGCCAGGTCTCCCTTGTAAAAGAGATTTCTAATGGCTGTACTAGTGGTCAATGGGACTTCCTGGTTAAATAAAGGTAAATAAATAAATAAATAAATATCTGGATGGGATCCTTGTTGGTTGGGATTTCTGTAGATTATTTTATATGAACGTTATAACATTTAAATGTGTCGTGCAACTACAATCAGATTTTTAGGAAATATAATAATATATTTCCCACTTTGATGACACCATGTTAAGGCTGCAGCTAACAGTTATTTTCATCATTAATTCCTCTGTTGATTATTATATCACAAAGTCTATTAGTTGTTTGGTTTTTAAAATGCAAGAAATTAGGGAAACTGTTAATCAGTGTTTCTCAGAGGTGAAGATGATGTCCTCAGATGTTTTGTTCTGTTCCTAGCTCAAAGATATTTAGTTTACTGTCATAGCAGTAAAGAAACCAGAAAAGGTTAAAATTTACAGAGCTGGAATTTCTCTTAAAAAAATGCTCAAAAGCAATTAATCGATTATCAAAATAGTTGGTGGTAACTTAAGAGTTGACTTGCTGCAGCTCTACATTATTAAGCGAAAAAATCACTCATAATTTAGAGGCTGTGAGCGCATCTCATAAACCCAGAAGGGTTTTAGTTACTCCCCTAAAAGGAATGCCTCCACGATGTATGTATTTGGATGCTGATGCGCATGAATTCAAATAAAATTTCACATATTCAATAAAGGAAACTGGGCAGGAAAGCAATACATAGACAGAATATTTATAAATCATGATCTCTTCTCACATTTTTAACATTTTTTTTATATTAGTGGTCGATTTTATTGGTCTTACGACACAATATCCCAAACTAATAATCATGTGGAACTGAATGACTCTTATATCAGTAATATTAGGATTTTCGTCTATCATCTGCTGATAAAACCATATTACTGTAAGTCACAATAATTTGTTATTCAGAAACAATCAGAAACACAACAAAGCCACATTCTAAACATATCATTCCACATGTCGAGGTTAGACAGTGCTTTAATTGTGAAGGGTCAGGTATGACTTACACAGACTCTCTCCTCGTAGGTGGTGAGTTCACAGAAGATGTGGTCGGCATGAGCCGGGCTGATCCCCACCTCAGAGAAGGTTGCCAGTTTCTCAGACACCTGATCCAGCAGAACCCTCACCTGCAGCACAAACACCGCAGTCGGTTTTCAAGTTTAAGAGGGATCATGCTGAATGAAGTCCAGCACGCGGGATTTCAGCCGAGTTAACAGACTCCAGCTCACCTCTCTGTAGTTGTGCTCAAAGTGGCGCAGTTGGAGACACTGCTCCAGTTTGGTCTGATGCCTCACCCAGAACTCATCGAAAGCCCTTTCTGTCTCGTCCAGCTGAGACAGCAGCCTGACAGAGGAGAGGAGACGGACTGTTCAGAAAACAGGCAGTTGAGCAGAGCAAAAGCAGCAGCGGGAGAAGAAATGAATCAAGCAGAAAATGCAGCGTGGATGCTGACTGAGGTCTTTGGATCTGTTTGATTTTCTGTGTTTGCATGCGTGCTTGTTATGAAGACATGATGCCTGCTGACAGGAGAATCAGTGCTTTCAAACGCTGGCTGACCTCAAAGCACGCTGCCTTGACAACTATTATTCCTAATGTAGGATGGGAAATGGAAAAAAAAAATCAACTAGCATGAAAACAAAAGAAAAAAAACTGCTAGCTTGAATCTTACATCACCACTAAGAGGCTGCAAAATCCATTTATATAACCGTAGTGGCACTATATGTTCAATCCTACTCACTTATATCTATTTTATGTGAGATTTATAACCTATTGAACATTTTCTCTTCTTATTTAAACAAATATTCATCACAAAATTAAACAATAAAAAAAATGCATTCTCCTAATTGACAGTAAAAAAATCCAAGTTTCTGTTTGTAGAAGTACAGGATATGAGCTGGAGTCATACTGACGAAAAATGTTTGGTCCTTTTGCTTGAAAAAAAAAAAGGTTAAATGATTTTCAGTCAAAAATAACAGTGCAAAATAAGAAATTAAATGACTTTATACTTAACTAATTCAGTAATTTCTTAAAAAGCACACCTGCATTCAGTTTCTGAAGTTGCAGACTTTGTTATTCAGTGTTAACAGTTACACAAATAAAGTGTTACTGTGTCCATAATCACTCTCAATTAACAAGATATGCTCATAGATAATGGTTGGTACCCACACTTTCTGTGTTGGGTAATAACACTAGATATGTACAGTGTATAAAATAATATCAATTCTACAGGTCTGGTTCCTTTATTTACAATATGTACATAAAACTGAGGTAATTCTGATCTATATTTCTCTAGAGAACAAGCCTCAGACCGTCTGGTTTCCAGTAGCCATCCTGCAGCTGCTTTAGTGCATCTCACCTTTGCACTGTAGCAAGGTTCTCCAGTTCATCCTGGTTCATGTTGTGGTCGGGGTCTCGCACGACAGGCTCGTTGATGCTCTCCAGCAGCCTGCTGCCCTGACCCAGAGCCACCAGTATGTCCTCCTACATATACAAAGACAGATGGGTTAACATATATGATAAGAGAGCATGCAGATAAGATAAGGATGCATGTGTGGTAATGGGGTTACCTTCATTTTCTCTTTCTTGTTGGTGTGTGTGCTCAGCAGGACGTTTGTGGCCTGGATTTCATTTGGGAGTTCAGTTTCTGCCAGTTCAGTCCCAAATGACTGCAGGGTCTGCGCTGTTTTCTTAACCATCAATGCGAAGCCTTCAATAGCCTGAAACATACACGATGCAGGAAAATGAAATCACGAAAATGTCACATTTGCAGTAATTCAGGTAAAGTTGATAAAGTGCACAGTGTGGTAGTTTTTTTTTTGTTTGGGTAATTTATTACTGCAATCAAAAAATGTATTTGAGCAGTTTAATGGTTGGTTTCATAATGTAAATTGAATCTCTGGTGTGTTGGTGAATAAAAAAACAAAAACGAAAATGCATTGGGTTTATGTTATGTGTGGAACTTGTTGACAAACTAGAATTTAGTTCATCCATCTGGGAAAAAAAGTGGGATGTTAATGATTAATTTAGTTGGGGAAAAAAATTGTTATTGCGGTAACATGATTAAATTATGTTATATGAGAGCAGATTCTTAACAAGTAACATAACTGGCACAAGCTGGTAAAGCTTAAATGTCTCTTTAAGCTTTAATCAGAAGTGATTTTGATTTTTTTTTTAATTCACAAATATGGATTTAGTGTAAAAAAGCTAGTTGACTTAGACAATCCTAACATTTGGGTTTTAAACTAACAAAATACAATTGCAAGGAACCTGTTGACAAGAAAAAATAACTAAAGGCAATGTTTCCACACAGAACTACAACAGTTTTGCACACTCATCCTTGTCATTGCATGTTCCTTTCATGTTTTTAGCATGAAGCTTTTCATATTTCTAAGGTAACTAAAAGCTGTAGGAAAGCTTTTCCTGTGTTGATGCTCCTGCTTAGTGTAAAGTACAACATGTACGTACAGTACGGTGTGAGATCCACTTCTCGTGGCAGTACTCCTGTGTTCCTCCGAGTTCCTGCGTCAGCTGGCTGCGGTCGATATACGAGTGCAGCTCAGTTATGGAGCTGAGCATAATCACCTGAGAGAGAAGCATCCTATTACGCTCAAGTTATTGGATCGTAAACGCGTTTACTGTATTCCTCAAGAAATCCAATTTATTTAAAATGTTTTTGACCTTACTGCCAGTTGGGTTTGACTCAATTAGGAGAACACAAGTAAGTTATGGATTATAAGCAGTGGTTCTACTCTTGTACCCACCGGCACCTTCATCTTGAACTCATCCTTGTTGAACTTGAAGAGGATGTCTGACAGTGTGCGCTGCAGGAGGGTGGTGGGCCTCAGAACCAGAACCAGCTGGAGGTTCCCTGGGAAGGAGCCCTGAAATTAGAACATAGACAGAGACTGTGTAACAGAGCAGACAGGATCCTCCTCCTCCTCCACCCCAGGCAGACAGCCTCCGCTATCTATTCATTATTCCTCCTTTTTGTTTCTCCTTGTGAAAATTCTTGCTCAAACCATATTCAACCATGTGAAGACGCATGTGGAGTAGCCGAGAATGAGGAAAATGTGGGGGATGCAGGGAACCGTCCTATGGCAGGAACATTAATCTTCGTGTCCCTGAGATGCTTCTGCACGAATAATAAGGCAGGAGGAATCTTTATACGTGTGTGCAGGCACATGAATTCAGGATTTTTGTTTGCCCAGAAGGGATTGTTAAGTTAAATTGGCATAGTTTTGATGCATTTTTTAATAAGAAATGTAGCTGTCTGTCCATCACCTGTTATTTATTTCTTCCCTTTCTCTCCCCATTTTCAGGGATTTCCTATTCAATTTGTGTCTGCACGGTGTACAGATGAAGGGAAATTATAATTTGTGACATATATTATGAATAAAATTAACTTGACTCTGTATTTGTGCATGAAAAGAAAGAAAGCACTTAGAGAAACCTGTCTAGCCACATGTTTTCAGAACATCCACATTCATCTTATTCATATTCATGATGCTGCATGTCCACGTACACTCAGCTCAGCCTGCAAAGCCAATAAAACGTCAATTAAACGTCACGGCTGACACCCACCGACAGACTCAAGAACTGCTGTGAAAGCAGTCGGATGATGGTCCAGGGCAGACACTGATCCCCCCTCCTGAGGCAACACAATTGTTAATGCAGCTTTAATTAGCTAATGACCTAAATGGATGGTTCGTTTGATTGGTCGTCCTCCCCGAAGCGAAGAGTTGAGGAATGCTGGTCTAAGCAGAATCAACAGTGAATACGTTGTTCATAGGAAAAAAGAAAAAAAAGCCTCTTGGGAAAGGAACTGTTAATGGAATTAATAAATCAATTCAATGTTTGTCCTTCCTTGCTGACCTGCTGGAAGAGGGAAGATAACTGTGCTGAAAATGGCCATTCACCACGTGGGGAGATGAAAACCACCATCCACAGAGTTTGCAGATGTTTTAAATTGGATTTATGATTAATGGGTTTGGCGACATTTCATGGCAAGATCAGAAACAGGCTCCTTAAGGGATACGTCTGGCAAAATTCTCTATTTTTTTCACCATCAACAGATCTATTTAAAATATCCAAACTAATATCTGATCCGAATCAATCTGACTCACTACTTCTGCAGCAAAAACCTGACATATATTGGTTTTCTATGCCATATACTGTAGCTCTGTTGCTACAGCTGGGCATTTAGGGGTTTTAAGGAATTTATTTTACAGTTATCTACACATTTAATGTAAACATTTTGGTGGTACATTGATAACTGTTACTATATAAAGTATTTCTAATGTTTCTGGATGAGATTAGAAATGGTCATATAGTAAAAATGATTTTTGGTGTTCATGCCTTCCAATAACATGTGGGGAATGAGATCGGGTCTAGCACCTAAAGGCTGCAAATAAATGCCTTTTTGCAAAGTAGACAATGTGCAGGAGTCTTTCAATCTGCTTGTCCCTCTTCTACACACTTGTCTCATGAAATCGATGTCTAACAGTTCCTTTGTTTTGTGCCCAACAGCTATTAAAAGCACATTAATGAGCTAAATCGTTGCACTGGTTGATATATTTGATGATTATAAGACAATAGTAGTAGTAGATTCCTCATAAAGCGTCCTCCTTTTGGAAAATACTCCAACTTATACATAATTTATTCCAGTTTGAGCGATGATTGATAAAAAATTAGAGTGCCCAGCTGTTTGAGGATATCATTTTTGAAAGATGAACTTCTATATACATGACCAGTGGACAGGGACAAGGCCTCAGGGCTACAGACAGTTTCGATTTTTGGTCTTTTTATGGGCTTTGTTCACAAAATCGCTGTAAAATGTCTCCAGTATTACTCCCTTCAAATGTATAATGTAGCTTCAAACCATCCAACCATGCTGCTTGGATCTGTGGTTGCTGGCAGTCATGGTCATGGTCTACTTGTTCTTTGTTCTCTGTCAATGGCAGACACACACACACACTCACACACGTACGCACACACACACTCGAAGAGGAGCCAGATAAATGACAAGCTTTAGGGACTGACACTATAACCGGAGACTTAATTAAAACCAATCTATACACACTTTCTGTCTGTCACCAGTTCCAACTCAGCTATGCAACGCAGTGTGCAGCTTTCCTGGAAAACACACTGACCCACATTCACACCCACAAGCCTATGTGTACACAAATGCTCTCATATACGCACAAAACCACAAAGAGTATCATTCAGCAGCATTAATGAGCTTATTTGCTCCCTCACACAGATCCACACATCCTCACGAGTGTAAACACCGACTACAAACACACCAAGTACCAGTTTTCATCATCATGTATTTAGCAGCTTGGCTCAGTCAATCCAAACAGGACATTATTGCAGGGTTGACTGAATGCCCCCTATTACCGGCCTGTCAACCTGTAAAAGTCCCCCCTTGTGGGATTAATAAAGCTTGATTTAATTTGAGATGACTGAGCGAGTCTCCCATGTCTCTGGAGACAGTGGGTGGTGATACTCATCTTTTGGAATATCTGTCTTTGTGTTGATTTATTATTTTTCTGCCTTTATATTATTAATAGACATGTGACGACCTATTCAACCCCAAAAAGGTACAATTTTATTGCAGAAGCTTTGAAGAAAACGGTCTTTTAACATTTTTATCCTGAACAAAATGCCTAAAAGATGTAAATATTCTTTTGTTTACAGAAAAACACATCACTATACTGCACTTGTAGGTAATATAAGCTCAATGCTGATAATAATAAAGGAGCCTGAATCAAGTGATGGTCAGCAGTCCATTGTTTTACCCCCAAAAATGCAATATGCTGAGAGACTATGTGAGTACATGACACCCTCCTCCCCTCCTGCATACACACTATGGAGAGCTGCCAGTGTTTCTTCACCTCCCTATAGAAAGCATGAAACACAGATGAACACACAGCCTCTCATTGTTCACAACAAAAGCCTGAAACAACTGAAACATGCAAAGAAAAAAAAAAGAAGCAGAAACCGGGATTTTTTCAGCAAACATGAACAACACGACTACTGTCACTTCTGCATTTCAAAAGAAGGTAGAAGTACATGAAAAAGGTGATAGGAGAGGTGAGAATATGCCATAAATGAGGGGAACGGTGTACAGCAACTGTTTCTGCTTTCTTGCAGCAGAAAAAGAAGTCAAGGACTATTTAAAGGCTCTTAGGCTACCCCTCTTGAATTATAGGAGCCCTTAAACCAGTCCGAGCACTGGTTATCCATTCATCAAAGTGACTTATTATAGAATCAGTTAAAAGCAGCGATGATGAGTGAGATTTTTAAATAAATGTGTGAACAAAAGGAACATCTCCTTCTATCTTTTTGGCCTATGACTGTTTATTTTCCCCCCCGTAGCTATGGAAACACATGCTCAGCTCTGATGGTGATGGGAAAGGGTATAGAGATGCGGTTTACTCATATCAGTCCCCTGGGGAGGGAGTGATATTAGTGGTGGAGTCGTGAAGGAGAGATGTGGACGTTCCAACACCTCCTAATGGCCTGCCAAGGCTTTTCCTCCAGTGGGGTGAAGGTGCAAGGCCACTGCCTCTCAGGCTCCTCAAACAGCTGATTAAATGGCTGTTTCTCTCCCACAGAGGCGCAAAGAGAGCACGGTCAGATCTGCAGACACAAAGACTAACTTACTGCGATACGAAGCAGGGTCCCCTTGACAGCTGCCCATCGGTCTTGCCGGCGATCAATGACCAGGATGAAACCCACGCCTGTCGACGACAAACTGGAACAGACAACAAGGCAACACATTCAGCACTAATTCAACAGAGGTCCATTAGGCTCAGGCCGACAGTTTAGGGGTGTGAAATTTAACAGCACAGTGAATAGACAGGATGTTTTTTCCGGGACAGAAAAGTAGGGAGTCCTTGATAACACACAAGCAACAACAAAAAGTAGTTTCCTCTGCGACACAGTGGAGAAGCCAAGAGATTGCTGCAGCTTGCTGTTTTGTTCTCTTTATCTCCTTAGACAGCTGGTGCAGTTCATCGAGGGAGAAGCTGTGAAGCACCTCCAGATTTCTTGGCCGACAGCCTCCAGCCCTCAGCTCTCTCCCTGCTACCCCCTTCCCCTGCTGTCCTCTGCAGTCTCAGGAGAGAGGAGGGCAACATGGTGTAGACAACCGGTGTCTATACTGCATGTGCAGCTCACCATCAGAATCCACTATTGCACCTGAGAGCACATGATGCATCCACAGCACATGTGTACTTGAGTACCTCAGCGCTGTCATTACCTTTCAGGCAGAAATATCCCAGCAATCCTCAAGTATTTAATTTCATATCCGTCGTTCTGCAACTTGCACAGACAGGGTGGCAGCAGTGGAAAAATCAGCAGTCCATGCCACAATGAGGGAGAATAAAAACACAGTGGAGGAGGCAGATCCCAGCGTGCTTCAGACCAAATGCTTCAGATCATCACAGACTCCAGCCTCTGCACCCCCTGCACTGCATCTGTAATCTATCCAATGAGAGACTGGGAGCTGCTTGGACACAAGCCAATCACAACGTAGCTGCAAAGTAATGGCAGCTCTAGTGGCCAATCAGCAGATCTTCAGAGCTCAAAGAGGATGTCACAGTAAAGCACTGAGAGGCTTCAGCTATTAGGAAAATAATAAAAGATTTTTCTTTTTTTTAAAAAAAAAAAACTCCCTCTCACTGTTGCATTCATATTCATAGTGGCACTTCTCATCAGTTTCTTCATCTCTCAGATTTTCTTTTGTCTTCATCCATCATCCTCTCCTCTCGGCCCTGCACTCAATCATCTGCACAGACTCTCACAGCCACCGGGGCACTCAGAGCGCAAACTGTTTTACATCTCAGCTGCCGAGGAGGAGGGGTAGAGTGGGACAAGAGCTTTTCTGCCTCTGAGACATTTACGACTGCTGAGATGAGAGGCTGGTTTATACTGAACATATAGCGCCAGAGGCTGAGAAGAAGAATATGAGAGGAACATGATGAAATGGCCCCCTGCAGCTTCTTCAAAACGGCAATGACCCAATCTGTATATCTGCTAAGTGCTGTGTTACACTGTGTTGGCTTGTGTTGTGTTTCTTAGCTGTGTTGGGGATATTTGTGCAGCTTTTGTACTGAACTTGGCACATTCGCATTGGTGTTTTCTGAATGTCAGTGTATAAATAAACAAATGTGGATTTAATTTTTGGTAAAATTAATTACTTACACTGTATCAAGACTCAGTAAAATGAGGAATTTATAAACGAGGTTTCGCAGTGGGATTCTTAATGTGATGTAAATAGACACACATACACTGTAGATCATACAATATTGCTTACAGACACTGTCTCATATACTATGTTAACTGTTTATTATTAATATTCATAAAAACTGCCCGGTGATGCCACAGCTGCACATGTATGAGTGTCCTAATAATAATGGGATTTCTTAGGTCACAGTAGCGTGAGCTGTGTGTTGAGCTGCGAAAAAAAGCTTTGCCTAATGGCAATGCAGCAATGAGGGGAAATTTGATGCATGAATGCATATGCAGACATAGCAACACACACACTGTTATACCCTCCGCTTCTTCTGTGGTGCTGAGCAGAGCAGAGGAATTAAGGTCTCAATGTAAGGGCAATGATATATCAAATTAAAAACTGATTAAATAACCATGAGAGCAGAATCTGTTTCAGTTCTGGTTAAATATCTTAGCGGCAACTGTGTCTCTTTAAGATGAAACCAATCTGCAAAACTGGATTCATGTGTGCATCCACGTGTAAAGCCAAAAAAAAAAAAAAAAGTGAAGGTGGGCACATGGTCTGCACAATGGCACAGCTTTTAAATCATTTACTGAGAGTTTTTGTAGATGCGAAGTGAATAAACTAGGATCCTGAAAGTCATACGCCAAGATTGAAATTACTCCAGGACTTAACACATCCACACAGTCAGCCTAACAAGTGCGCACATGTATGGTATGCAAAAAAAAATCAACATTAGCGATTAAGTCTGCAATTAATATTGATCCAAAGGTATTTGTTTCAAACAAGCAGCAGCTGTTCAAGGTCATGATACACAGATGTAGGACATTTGCCCCTGGACTTTGTGAGGCCTCTCAGGGGGTGGCAGTCCCTCAGGTAGCTCCAACCATCTGTCTGTGCATTTACAACAGCTTGAGGCTCGACAAAACTCATCCCTGGGGACGACCCTTCCTTCAAGATAAGTCCCCAACTAAAATGTAGGTAACTTTACAATAGACAATCACCTGTGTAGTACTTAATATGAGCGATTAAACCTTCTGTACAAAAGTTAAAAAACATACGTAAGCTGTATTTACATCATGTGTAAAGGCCTGCCAACACATGCATGTCTTAATACAGATGCATTCTTGTGTGGCCAGGTGTTCTTGTGAGTTCATCTCACACACACACACACACACACACACTATTTCTAAACACAGCTCTGCTCAACTGTCTGTATGCATTATTCAGATTCAACCAGTCAGAATCACTGCAGTTTCTATTTTTACACACTTTGCCATTCCAGGCAGGATGACGGAGGTTCAGCACAGACAGGAAGGAGATCTAAATGAGGAAACTGAAGGACTAAACTGTGAAGAAAATATCAAAGGAAAGACAAAAATGAACAATAAAAAGAGACAGGTGGTAGTTATCTGTGAAAAGAATCAGATGAAAGAATGATTGTTTTATGTGTTTTTCTTCAAAGACTGACGTGCAGAAGACTAAAAAAAGAGAATCGCTATTTATTGCCCATTTTGACAGATATCTATGCTGAGCTCAATCCACTGAATATATCTGATGTGAGGCTGTGATTAGGTATCAACTGCCACCTACTGGCAGACTTCACGCACAAAGTATCTTCATCAGCTGTGTTGTGCTGCAGCGTCATGACAGATGAAACAAGTTGACGCTGACACCAAGAGTGCAAACAGGGACGTAAGGTAGAAAACAAATTAGCGGCGACACAAGAAGTGAATGAGGCAAGCGTGTGTGTGAGTTTGTATGTGTGACTTTACCTGGGCACACTTGTCAGGTAGGTCAGCACGTTGTGAAACTCCCTGTCCGTGATCTCCCCAAACGCAGGGAATTCTGGGAACACAATGATGGGGCTGCCGTTGTCTCCTCTACCTCCTAAGAAAGAAAAAAAAAGCATTGAACATTGAAACTTTTCACACGTGTATAAACTTGTGTACATGTCCTCAGGGACGTCAGTATAACACAAAACATAAGATGGTATAATATGTATAGAGAAATCATAATATGCTGTTTGTCTGGGGGCTCTGTTACTCAACTTGGCAAGGAAAATTAGTTTAGATGTACAGCTAGAATAAACGAAGAGGCCACAGCGAGACCAAACTGTGGCCACAGGGGGGCACTGATGTGAAAGCTATGTTGGGATAAGTGGAAACAGTAACCATCATAATAATAATAATATTGTCTCATATGCCTCATTTTAAAACTGTTACACATAAAATAAATACATAAATAGACTGGTAACATAATAGCAAAGATATTAAAGTAAGGAATATGTCAAACTAAAGGAAAGGGGAAGATTAAAGGACCTCACAAGTGGTTTACTGGTTCACAACAGCTGACATTATATCCTTATGTAGCACTCTTATTGTATTTTTGTTCATTCCTGAAAGTATAAATATGATTTAAAAAAAAAAAAAAAAGGTAATTAATTTGAATATGACTCTTAAAGTTTAGCTGATCTGCTTCCTCACGACTGTTTCGGAGTGTTTTGATGAGAATTTTTTGCCATCAGATCCTGATATTGTTAAATCCAGAATGGTCCACAAATGCAAGTCACATTTTTTCCCCCCAACTAAACCAAAGAGAAGAGCACAGAGGAAAACAGTTTTCAAAAAGACATTTATACGAAACAGCTTCAAATGTTGGCAGAATGCTGACTGACTGAGTAAATATATTTTGAGTGTCACCAGAATTACACAACGATTCAAGATGGGATAATAAAGTGAGATGAAAAAAATGACACGACGTAGAGAGATGCTGCTGTGTTTGCACACAATGATTGATGCTGACACCAAATATCTCACCTCTCTCTCTCTCTGTCTCTCTCTCTCTCTCTCTCACATACACACACATGCACACACACACACAAACACAGTATCTTCCTCCCTGTGTGGAACAGCTGCTCTGTCAGCGCATGTGACTGGAATATCAATCTGTCTGCCTTTTCTTCTCTCATCACTATAGCAACAGCAAGTGCATGGTCATGGTTTCAACGTCTGCTTAGATCTTTGTCCGCAAAATGGTTTCCGACTCTGCTGCAGCCACAAGGTCACCTCTGCCGCACACAGAGACGACAGTTTTTATATAACCGCAAGGACGGATAGAAGAGGTGTCATAAATAATGAGTAATCTCCTGCAAATTTGTGCCAAAAGGGAGAACCGTGGAGGTGAAAACATCAAGTTTATCACAACTTGGACATGCAGAGGCAGTAAGTGAAATACAAAACAGGTAACAGTGGCGAAAAGATAGCAGGTAACCGGAGCAACACCCGGCAAAGAGTGACGAGGAAGAGGTGGAATTTGAATAGCAAATCATCAAAAAACAGTTTGGATGCAAATACGAAGTGGAAAAGCTAAAATTCAAATTACAGCTGACTGAACAAAATTAGAAGTAAAAGTTCGTCATACACACGTGTGTACGTCAACTCAAGAACACAGATAAGAAAGAAAAAACAAGAGAAAAAGCGTCACCTGACAAGAAGGCAAACTGCTTTTTGAGGTCGGGGGTGATGTCAGCAGCTCGGAGAGGACTGCTGTCCAGCTGCATGATCTCATCTGCAGAAAAGGGAGAAATGAAAACGTTAGTGAAGCCACTGTACAGCAGTCTAACATGAAGTCCATGTCCATTGTCCAGGAATACACAGATACACACATGTAGATACAGTTTAGTACATTGAGCATATTATATCCAGACTGATAATTAAGTCTGGAGATGACCACAATGTTAACCCATCATGACCTGTTGTGTAATTAACCTGCCATATTTATAATCATTCATCTACCACTTCCACAAACAACCAAGTGATGCATATACAAACTTAACTTCTATATTGTCATACATACTAAATAAAGGCAGAATCAAATCTTCAAACACACATTTTCCACTAAAACAAAGTTAAACTGCAACATCTCCCCCACATTAGGATTAACGGTCGTCATTGGATACTTTCAGAAAAGTCTTTTATCTGTCTTGTTAGATCCCACAGATCTGTTCTGTCGCAGATAGCATACAGTATTGATAAACTGACTGGCTTTATTAACAGCCCTTCACTCCCCATGCAGTCCCTTTATACGGATTAAAATAATCAGATTTAAGGTTCATTCCCCCACTGGGAGATTCTGATTATACCAGAGACCAAACAGGAGGTTGGGAAGCCGGTGACCATTTGGAAAGACATTATAATGACATTAGGAATGTAATGATATTATAGCTGCATACACAGTTATGTAACAAAACTGGCGAAGTCAAAGCCCAGAGATACAGATGAAATTAATTCCCAGTCTGACAGCTGCTGGCCCTCATGAATATGCATTAAAAGGCCCTGAAAACCTATGTCCTTAATCATCTCCCCACTACAGTAGGAGTAATTATACCGTGTGAACACATCATTTTCTGCTTAAATTTTAACAGTTATGTCTCATTTGAGTTTCTGTGTTTTTTCCCCTTGCTCGTCTCAAAGTTTTGAAGTGGATGGTGCTCAGTGGGGAACAGAATGACCCACTTTTGCGCATCATGATTGGGCAATAATCAATTAAGAATCTGTTGGCAGTATGAAGTGGCTTGAAGATGCTGCCGCCGTTAATGAAACCTCAGCTCAGCACGCTCACACAGTTCTGATGAAAGAGATTATGCAAGTTAATAAAAAAAAAGTTTTTTCATCAAATTCCCTCAGTTGATCATGAATATTTATAATGCAGAAATATACATGAGGTTTGAAAATAAGTTTTCAGAGGCTTCAAACATAAGAAAGAATGTCTATAATGTTTAGAACATTCATTAAAATAATCTGAACTATTTCTTGGTAAATGAAAACTGGCCAGAGTTCAACGTGAAACTGAGAGCTGCACAGCAAAAGGGCAAAACAGATCAATACAAAAAACTACGGCTAGTACTCTACTATGTCTCTGGCAGAAACTCTATCCTTCGCTGTAAACAGCTAAATGTACTTAGTTTACATTTTTCCAAGGTGAACGCAGTTGTAAATTCACTGAATAGTCTGTGATCAGATGGTGCGTATCCAGTTTAGACATTATTTTATCACAGAACAACACAAAATCTGAGGTTTGTTGTCTTTTATCAAACAGCTTGATGGTGTCAGTGTTAAATAAAGACAACATAGTGACATGCCTGAGGGAAATACATAAAGTTAAGCAGGGAGAATGTAATGTAATACTGCGACGAGAAGCTACTGCAATGTAAACTCATTATGACATTTTGGTACACAAACATTTTGTGCTGAAATAGCTTTTTCAGGGTATTCAAGAAATGCAAATAAAGCTCAAAAGCTGAATAACATTTCCTCTGTTAGTGGCCACATCTGCCAAATGGATGTCCGAAGACACCTGCATATTTTATATCTGGCTTTCACAAAATGGAGCTTTACTAGGGTTTACGTCATTTAACTTTAAAACTGAGACGACGACTCAACAGAGAGCAAGAAAAATATTGCAGAGTTGCCATTCTTTTTATAACAGCACTTTCACGAACAAAGATGTCCAGGACCAGAGATCTTAGCACAAAAACTTCTATAAGCACTAAAAAGCATCCATAAGCCCCTCGTTCATCTAGTAGTGCTTGAGGTAAAATAGCCTGAAGATGTTTAAAGGCAAGTAAAAATGATGAGGAAGTGCATTTTGGGAAAAGCTGGGAGATTACAAGATGTTCCCTTTAAATTTGGGTGCAAACATAGACACCCATGTTAAAGTAACAGTGAAGATCAATATTGACTTTGCAGGCTGACTTTGTCTCCTTCAGTTTCCTGACGTAATCTAAACTGAATCACGTTGTCACACTGGAGAGTGTAGCTTCGTTCCACACCGCTAACTGTCTTTCAGGATCAAAAACAGCCCTTTTTATGCATAATGATAACTGATAAAGAACTTAATCTTAGTTTTCCACATGTAGAGTGACAAGTCACATTTTTTTCTTTTATGGCACCATCACCAACAGTCCACCGACATACACAAGGATGGCAAAGTCTAAAATATGTACGTAGAAAATTTGGTGGCATGCCATTCCTCTCTCTCAACCCCCCCTTTCTGTTTTTGTCTCACCTTCTTTTGTCTCTGTAATAAAAGGGCAAAAAGTACCTCAAAATAATCTGAAAACAATGTGGAATTGTAATATAAAGATAATAAGTAGAGTATGTATTGATTTTCTACAGTTTATCTTGGTCACGAGTTTGTCAATCGAAGGATGTGAGACAAAAACCACAAAGTCTTAAAGAAACCCAAAGGAATGATATAAACAGATAAGACACAGATGAATATTCCCTGTAAGACTCCGTACCTGTCCTGTGACATCAGACGAAACATGTCCACCTACTCCGGCCTCATACTCACAGGAGCAGTCAGTCCACCACAAAATCTCTCACATTGCTACCTACGCTGCTCCCTTCTTTATCGTGTTGGTATGTTAATGTGACTGCCTCTTTACAGGCTCAATCCCTTGACTTTGAGCCCTCCTCTGACGGTGCGTTAAACAAACCAAAAAGTCCTACTGTTACTCTTTGTCTGGCAGGGTGGCTATCAGGTGACTCGGCCTGAGGGCATCACTGTACTGACATTCATTGCTTGCTTTCCATCTCTCTCTCACAGACACACTCTCATATAGTCTAACTGTTTGTTGACAGGACTCATTCAGGTGTGCCCTCCTGGTTTGGCATTTTCCTGCCACCTTTAAACATTATCCCTCTCAGACCAGCTGGTGCCAAACCTATTCTGTGAGACCAACATCAAAGGTTTGAGCTAATGAAGGGACTTAAAGATAGAATCTGTAATTCTGGAGAAAGACTGTTGATGTTTAGCTGGTTAGCATATTTAGATAGCTATCATTTGACAGATTTATCATCCCTCTTGCTTGCATTGCCTCCTTTCCTCCCCCATCTCTCCTCCTCCTCCTCTCCTTCCCCTTGTCCTGTGCACGAGCAAGAGCGTGCACGAGCATGAATGTGCACAGGACACCCTTGAGATTGGTCAGAGCCACTTTATTTCTCATTTACAGAGCCAGGGCTGCGTACAAATACTGCTTTTTTTTGAGTGCACAGACAGAAAGAACAGCCAGCAGACCATGAGGAGATATCAACCGAATTGGACAAAAAAACGTATTATTATCACTGACTCTACTTTTAAAGATGGGTTCTTACACCTTTTCCATTTTGTTTTACACTTTTCTAGATACAGTTTCCTGACTTAATGCCAAAAAAATGCAAAAAAGATAGTAGCTTTAGGTACTGCAGCTCAAACAAATTAACACCAAACCTATACAAGTTCAATGCACAACAGCGTACCCAAGCTGCACTGCTAGAGCAGTGAGCAACCACAAAGAGCAAAGTTCTTCTTTCTCAGAGTAAAAGCACCATAAAGAACAGTTAGCTTGTATCTATAGTTTATCTATAGAAATTCAGGATATATATTTTATATATATTTTAGAAAAAGGAATCTAGACAACAGTCTGGAAACCTAAAGACATTTTCATTATCACTTTTTAAATACTTATCCAAACCTGGAAATGACTAAAATCAAAGTCCATACTTTTCCATACACCACAGGAACTCTGCTGAAGGAACGTAGCAGTGCTATGTGACTTTTTAATATCTTTCCTAACTGTCAGTAAACATTTCAAATACTTAGTACACTCACTGCTGCGGATGAGTTTGTCCAAAGTAACTTATATTAGGTGCATCAGAAGGAACCAGAGTGAAATGCCATGCAAAACAGGAAATTCATCCTCATCAAACAAACAGCTAAAAGTGGTGACACACAATTGGGAGAAGTCACTGAAGAATGCATGAAAGGCAAATGCGGAACAACCTGAAAATTAATGCACTGTCTGAATAGAGGAATATATAGGGAATAACAATGAGTTACCAGTGAACCGACCAGGAGATGCTTTAATAATGAATCATTAGGTCATGGTTAGTTTTTCATTTTCCTTGCTTTTTCTTCTTATCACTTTTTTCAGTTCTTGTTAATCAGCATCAGTTATTTCCTAACCAACTCAGAAATACCACTGAGTAGTGCAATTACAACCACTAACGACCATTAATGACACAAGTTTAAGGTGATGTTAATGTTAAGATTCTTATCCATCACTCAGTGTCATCAGAAAGGTGCCTGATCAGCCAGAATTTATTCTGCAGGATGAAACAACAGACCCAAACATACAGCCATAAATAACTATTTTCATTCACAAGACATCCTGCAAAGGATGATTTTGTCATAAATAAGGATTTGTGGAATTAGTTTTGAAAGCACTGACACTTACAGAGCTGTCGACATCAACAAACAACATCTTAAGTGGTACCAGACTTTGATTCAAATGTTGCTAAATCCTGACTGGTGCACTGAAGTAAGTGAGATAATGTGCGTTTAGAGTCTCACTCAAACATCTCTCTCTTTCTAACATAAATGGTGGAAAAGTCCCAAGTCTCACCCCCAATTTAAATGGCTCACAGCCCCTAAATGACTCAGGGCTCAGATGCCTTCAAGGTGTTAATGTTTGTGAAACTACCTGGGGATGGATCTCAGAACAGCATAATAAATACCTGGTGACGCAGATCCCCTCCTCTACAGAGCGTACAAAATGAGATGGCTGCCCCAGTTTGACTCCTCTCTCAAACCATCTGTCTTCTCTTTACAGAATGTCAACATAGCTGTCCTCAAATGAGTGTCTCTTATCCTTCAGATGCCGATGGACTGCTGAGTCTTGTCCTTGTTTAGTCTCCCCCTTATGAAGGTCTGTTGCTACATTATACTTCATATACAACATTGCTCAGCTTGCGTTTGGCTGTTTTATCCAAAGGCGGCACCAAGTTCTGTTTAAATCTGAAGTACATTGGAATGTTGTGTTTGGAGAAAAGCCTTCTCAAGTTTTTCAGATGCACAATATTTAGATATGTGACTTGGCTGATTCAGAATAAAAGTTTTCAGGGATGTTCATGATGCCACTATGAGAAAAAGAGACAATATTAATGATAGAGAGAATGCAACTCTGTGGCATCGAACCTGTTAAGTTTATCCTAAATGGTCCCATACAGTCTGTGTTTAGTGAAGCAGGTGGTTTTAAATCTTGCATGACAGCAGGAGACCTTTGACACTAATCTACCATCATCCAGGAATACACAGACACACACATACGCATATAGAGTTTGGTAAACTGTGCATATTATACACAGACAGGTAATAAAGTTGGCAACCTGGGACTGACATCATGACCTGATGCGCTATTCAATAAAAATCACCACTTGCAGCTACCAGCATCACCTTCTCTTTAACTGGAAACGCTTCTGTAACTCATCCTAGTTCCAAGTCAGTTTTGTCCCTTTAATTGGCATAACATCTACAGGATGTTCTCTGTATCAGTTGATTAGGAACTACTGACTGCTATTTACTTTACAGAATAATTCAGACACAGATTACTTTTCTCATTTTTTCCCCCCATCAACTTAACCTCAAGCAAGATATCTCTTAACAAAAGGCACGCAAGTGGAGTGGAGACTAGATAAATGACTGTATCTCTGATGTTCGTAACTTGGTAAAGCAGTGTTGTCCTGGTAATAATGGCCAGCACTGCCTGAGGTGTTTGGACACAAAGCTGCAACTGTCTAGCCATCTGCAAAGCGCTCACAGGTGCTCACACGCTCCTTACGTACTCAAGTTCACACAGAAACCTCCATCAGTTTCCTCTCTTTGACCTGTCCCCACTTACTCTGGCAGCCACGCCTTGCCCCCAGAAACTCCCACACATATCAAATCAAAACCAACCCCCCGCCCAGGCCCACAATAGCTACACCTTGTTTGTAGAAAGAAGCTATTCTGTTACAGAAAAATCCCCTCAGCCTCCTTTTATAGTCCCCCCCCACCATAAACTCTATGTACAAATACACAATGACCACACTTACTGTTTTAGTTGTAACCATATTTCTAGTCACCGTTCACACATACTATACGTCAACAAAAGCCCCTCTGGCCATCTGACTGGCAGAAGATGAGCCACTACCAGATACTAACGTGCTTCTCACTAAAGGGACAAACTGAAACTACTTTAGTGTCTTTTCCAGTTTCGCTTCTCTCATCAGCAAGTATCAGTGACATCACAATGATCTAATACGAAACAAGGAAGTGTATCTAGAAATCCAAGCTGATCATAAGGGTCTTGAACACGAAGAAGCTTGAAGAGATTATTCAAAACTTGTGTTTATTTTACTCAAATCCACCAGCACTGCATTTTGTGGCAGATAACCAGAAGTTTCCAAATTTTTACTGATTTTTTAACCTTGTAACAAAAAAAATTTAATTGATCTTACATTTCTTGCCAAAGCAAACAATTTGAACTTTATCAAAGCACTTTTTCTGCTCTTAAATGATAAAATGACTCTTGCAAATCCTAAAGAAGCAAAACATTATTCCAACGTGCCCTACGCACTCACATGTAAACACACACTCACGTACATACCACCTGCTGTTTGAGGCGCTAATGTTCTTTCAAGGGCTTAACGGTGGGGATTAGCGTCCACTCACGCTCACGTTTGTGGGTGACGAGTCAAACGTTAGTGGGTCACAGTCACACACCTGGACCGCCTGCCACTACTGACACAGATTAAACAGGACGAGACCAGAGGACTGAAATCCTGGCTTGCCAGGTCAGAAAGGCCAAGAAAAGGCTCTATAAACAAAAGAACTAACTGGCTTTCATCTTGTTAATCAATGTTCAAGAAATGACTTCCTCGTCCAGAGCTGCTCTGTGGGTTCTTGTGCTTCCTTGTTCTCATGTAAGAAATGTAAAATCATTCTAAAAATATCCTAAAGTCAGAATAATGGACAGTTCAGAATTGGGGGTAATGGGGCAGCGACCAGAAAGGTGGGGGAGGGTGACAAGTGGGAATAAGGGGCTTACAGTCATGGTCATGGAGGAGGAGGAGGAGGAGGAGGAGGAGGAGGAGGAGGAGGAGCAGAGATAAAGCAAACAAATGAGCAGTGACCGATAATATGAAAGAAGCAGAAGTCTGAGTGTGGTTCAAAAAGGCAATGTCTGAGGTGATGGTGATGATTAACAAGTGTGCTAATCTATAACAAATAATCAATGAATCAAGGTGGAACAGAAATTACATGTGGAAAATATTGGATATCTCCAAAAACAACACAGGAAAAAGAAGCAAACAGTTTCTCCTCTGTTCTCCCTCACTCACATGAAAATAGTCCAGTAATGCGTCATTTTTGATCATTATCAAAAGGTTACGTATACTTCTGACGAAAGTGCCCAAAACAGGACACACATAGAGAGATCATATCTAAATTCTCTGTGATTCAAGGTTTGGATTATCTTCTTTAACTCATAATAGATTTTATATGAAAAAAAAAGACGTTATATGAAGCTACACAGCCAAATAGAGTAAAGAAATAAAAGGGAAATGGTGTAGCTCACCAGTCTGAACACTAGTGGAGAGTATAAACAGAGGACAGGTGAACTCAAACAGAAGAACACAGGTAGAAAGTGTGGAGTTAAGATACCAGAGGCCTTGCTTAAATTAATGTAAATGAGGAATGAACTACCAAGAAATAGAAGAAAGAAGAGTGGTGATGACATAATCAGTTTGTCATATGTGGAACAAAAGGATGCGAGAAAATGATCCAACACGTACCACACAGCCAGTGGCAGCGGCGAGAAAATCTGTAGTAACTCTCCACCTCCTCGAGACTGATCCGTACATGACCTCCTGGCCGCAAACGTACATCCAGTCCTGCCTCCATCTTTTCCACCTCGCTCTCCTCAGTCTGATCATCTACCTCCTTTGCTTCAGTGTCTCTATTCTCCTCTCCTTGAGTTTGACCTCCTCCATCATCTCCTGGGATTCTCTGTTGTTGCTCCAGAAACTCTGTGCGTCCTGAAATCACAAACCAGTCCAACTCCTCTTTGTCTGGACATTCATCCGAACCTACGATCACTTGTCCTGCTTTAATCGGCTCTGAGTCTTCAGGGTTCATACAAAATCCAGAATCTAACACAGCTTCATCGTCCTCTTCCATAGAGAAGCCTGAATCTGCCATCTCCTCTCCCCCCATCCTCCTGTTCCAGTCTTGTTCACTGCTCTTCTGCAACATTTGTTATATGCAGTTTTGCAAAAAAAAAAAAAAAACAGTATCACAGCAACTGCTTCCTTCTCATCCTGACTCCACCTTTCTCCAAACTACATTCAGTTTCTGTCAGGCTGCAGGTGCTCTACAGCCTGCGGACGTTCGTCAGTAACTGAGAGGACTTCCTATTGCAACCTCAGGTTACCTTCCCTGTACACAAAAGCTACAGTGTCGTGCTCGACCCCACCCTCTCTCTTTGCCCCACTACCTTTATCCCTCCCCTAAAAGAACAGTTACCTGACTGCAACCGGCTCAAAAACAATGCCTTTGACCTGTAGATATATCACTGAGCCTGACCTCTAACTATGATCCAGTCAGGACTCTTTATAACAAACTAGGAAGAGGAAAAAGTTGTGCGGGATATGTTGTGCTACCACGTTGTATCACTTTGGTTCGACAGCTACTGCAGCTCCCAGTGCTCATTTACCTAGCCCAACAAAACCAGGGATCCTTGTCTGCCTTATCTCAGGAGATGCGGACCATAAGTACAAAGCACTCCATTCTGACCAGCCCATTCAAACCCTGCCTGCATCCCCATTTAACCGTTCGCTCACTGTATCCATTGAGAGCCTCTATTCTTGTTTACTCCACTCAAAAGACCCCATTCTTGCAAACTCACTGAAAGACTTAATTCTAGCGAGACCTCTCAAAGAAAGATACTGTTTCTTAACAGAATGCAGCAATTTAGATTCAGTTTCAATGAGTTGTGTGAAAGATAAATTTCAGCCAAGACAAGCTAATAGAAACCATTCTGTGTCTCCTAATTCAGCCATTATCCACTAAAAGAAGTCCAGTGGTGCTAAAAAAAAGGAGGTTTGGGCAAGATATGTTTGTGTGCATGGATGTGCAGGTGTGTGTTTGTTTGGTGCATTGCGTTTAGCACGTGTTTGCTCAATGACCGTGGGCATGCATGAGGTTATCAGTGTCGTAAACCTTGAGAGATAAAAGCTAAAGCCACTAGACTGGAACTACACAACTTAAAGCAAAGAAGATCATCAAACAAAAGGGACTATCGAGTGGGTCAGCTCAGTCTCAGTTTAATTACTAAACACTAATTAGGTGTGTTTTCACACAAATGTAGTCTGAGTGCTGTCCTGGAAGTATGTAGCCTATCAAACAGACTTTCACACTCAAAGTTTGAAAGCTAAAAATGTTAAAAATATGTTAAAAGACTCTATCTGATGAAAACGTTTTTCTTTTTTAAGTTTTGCTTTGTTAATATGTCCATATGGTGTTTTGTTTTGTATACAAAAAGTCAAACACTAAGGAACCAATCCTGTCAAGTGGCGGTGTGAGACTTTTCATGTCATTATTGTTCTTCAGAATCACTGTCCAGTTTAAACATGTACGGCTGAATTACTCCAATATTACAACTTGTCATTGTGTAGTGTTCTTTCACAGTGTTTAGGCAGGAGCAGAGTTGTGCTGGTGTGTTTGAGCTGCAGCGAGCAGTGGGTGGTCATTCATTCTAAAGGAAGCATTGGTATAGAAATATATCTATACTAAAACCTCTTCATACATATGTTTGATGCATGAAAATTAGTTCATAGGGCTGGAGGGGGATTTTAACATGAAAGTTTAAAATTATATCACTTAATGGAGGAAAGAATTTTCTTATGTTTTCTCATCACTTTAGCTCTCGTTGACATCAACTTCACAACTGATAGCAACAAAGATATTATCGCTCACTGGTTCTCCATCTAAAATCACTGTCAAATACATTTGCTTGTCATTACAGATCTTGAAGTCAAGTTTTGCTCAGGCCCCAAACCCTAATAAAACATATCTCAACTCTACTTTTAAACCATCAACCAGGATTTGGAAAAAAAATCCCAAAAAAGCCTTGAATGGGGGAACAGTTAGAAATCTCAGAAAACAGAACCTCCTCCCAGGACAGCTGCACATGTAGTTGAATGGAAACTCGTTTTCTTCAAATGTTCTGTTATTTATTTATTTATTTATTTTTACCTCATGAACATATGAAACAAAGCACTGAATGTACAGTTTCCAAGGTCCAAAAAATGTCAATAACAGTTTAGAAGAGCTGCAAAGGAGCTGAATTGTTTGGAATCATTTGTGCTCTATCTCATTTTTTATGAGGCATAACTTGCAGATCTATTTCTTCTGGTTTCAAAAACTACTAACTAAAATGATCTTTACTTTTTTCCTCCCTTGATTTTTCTGTGGTATCAGAGTTAGATGGCCTCAAGATAAAAAAAAAAAAAAAAGAAACATGTAAAAAAATCCTCTCTTGAATTCTCCTCATGGCTGATGACTTTACCAGCGCAGGGAGGAAAGGAAAGAAAATCTTTCCTCTGAGACCTCACAGCTTCGGGTGCAGAAAAACAAAACACGTACTGTATGTCCAGTTTATGCATGCCAAAACATATGCACATACTGGATATGCAAAAACATATGCAATTCACATACAAGGTCTGGGTATAGCAAGAGCTTTGAGCATTCAGTGACATTCATCCTGGAAGGGAACAGGCATAAATATGAGTATGACCTTGGTGAGAGATGAGGCTGCCTCGCAAAAAGCAAAGACGTGGACATCTGAAGAACATGCAAGGTCCCAAGATGCACATTATGTCAGCAAGATATAGGAAAATAGCTTACGAAAGACAGAAAGTCAGCTTTTACTTGATACATAAAAATGCACAAAGACACACACACACACACACAAAAAACATCTAGACATCATCTAACTCACGTGGCTTAAGCGGGACCATTTGCATCCCACTATCCCATTGAGAAGCGCTCTTCCTACTTTTCCTCACCATGCTTTTCTCACTGCGTCTTAGTTGTCCTTTTCAAACTAGTGGCAAAAACCAAGGTCTCAGAGTGGCTGAAAGGACACCGAAGTGAAAGCTCAGCAGCTTTAATCAGCAGTTCCCATTCCTTCGCAGCAGCAGCTCATCTGCTGGTAAGGTGCTGCATGCTGCAATTTCTGCATTTGCGGAAGAATCTCCTACTGCTACGGAAAAATGTCAGTGCAGCTGCCGAGATCTGTATGTTGGAAACTGAAGCGTCCGTTTAAGCTGCGCAGTCACACACTCTCACACACTCTCACACAGACACAAAATGTTGCGCACACAGAGACACGCAAACAACCCGGTGGGGAGCAAGGGAAGCCCACAGGAAACACTGTGTGTGAGGCTCTGGGCGTGATGCCCTGCAGAACTCTGGCCAGAGCTTCAATCAGAAACATATTATGCACAAATGCACACACAACAGACATACTGTGTGTATGCACATGCACATAAGTCTCATGTGCCACTTTCCAATGCTGGAAAGTTGCAAATAAAGCAAGACACACACACACACTCACAGACACACACACACACAATACAGCCTCTCTTCCTGTCAGTCTTACCATCCCAGTCTCTCCAGGAGTTCCTGCGGCTGGCAGGGTTGAAAGGGAAAGGAGAGCCCAGTCCAGAGATGTCCAAGTTCTGGATCAGATGACTGAACCGGTTCATGAGCCGGTACGACGCCTCGCCACCCTCCCGCAGAAACTCATGCAGAGACATGAGAGCCGGCTGCTGGTCTCCCACACTCAAACAAACTCTGTCATCCAGAGAGACCCCCTCACTGCACTTTCAAAGCTCTGCTGCACACTCTAATCGACTCCAAAGCGCAGCCCCCGAATGCAGACATGGGAAGAATCCTTCTTTGTTGTAATGCGCCTGGGTCACACTGGATCACAATGACACGCTCTCACTTGCATCCTGTGATGAGAGTTCTGCATTGGCCACATACAAGACGAGCCCGGTGTCCTCTGCAGAGCCACATTGGGGATTCAAGGGAACAGCACAGTGCACAGCCGGCAGAATGAGGAAAAAGAGCTGAGTCACTGTCTGCACAACCTCTGAAACAAACACTGTTCACACTGGAGGTGAGAATGGGCCCAGGTCTGCACACACACACACACTCTCTGATGCACACACATAACTCGTCGCCGGTGCAACTCAAGACAGCTCAGGGAAGCATAGGTTTCCTAGGAGGGATGAGAGGGGAGGAGGGTGGAGTGCAGCAGAAGCAGAGGGCAGCCGGTGGAGCACAAATCCCCTTCTGCTGCTCGGGCTAATTATATTCCTCCACTCCTTAACTAATCTGCCTTTTCTTTCCCTCTTTCTATCTCCACACATTCCTCCATGCATTTATTTCCTGGTGAACCAGGAGAGAATGCAAAAAGCGGGACAACTGCGCAGAAACCAATCAGCTGCAAAATTGAAAAAAAGAAGAAAAAAAACAATAAAACTTCAGATTTAGGGTTTGTTATTTGCCAATATGTTAACTAAGGTGGGGGAGCAAACACAGTGTCTCCTCTTTGATGGTGGAGAAGAGGAGGTTGCTTTTAAGTTTATATGTGTGTTTTGTGTGTGTGTGTGTTTGGCTGTGTTGCGTAGATAAAGCTGGCAAGCAAAAGGCAGCTTGCAGTTTATAGGCTTAGAATAGAGATGAGAGAGGAGCTGCACTCTCTCACATACTGATGAGGGCGACTGCAGGGGGACGAGACGTCAGCTTCCTATTCAGTAACCATTACTCTTATC